ATACACGCAATGGTCATGGTCAGTATACGCTTAACGGTTATCGACGGTGTATCAGAAGCACTTCAACCTGTGGGTGTTTACAGCGCAATTCTACCGTTCGTAGTCAACGGCTGCCTAATAACTCGGCTACAAAACGTTTGAAAGTGCTTAGCTTGATTTCTGACAGTGTAGTACGTTGACTTTACAAGTTGTTCCTTCAATAAAAAAAACTTATTTAGATAAATGCCGGCTGCGTAAGATTCGTGAGCTTCATAAATAGAAGAAAACACGAATTACCGTTTTTGGAAATCCGCATCGACAGCCATGAAATGGTCCAGGTCTTTGCGCATACAACGACGGGTGCGTCCAAGAGAATCCGTGTATTCCACCCACTCTTCCTCGGGCTTCTCTGCTGCTTCGATCAATCCGGAACTCGTTGTTGCATGTTCATCGTCGCCGTTATCTTCAGAGTTGCCGCCATCGCTTTCAAAACTAAAATCGCTGTCACTTCGATCCCTGTCGTAGGCCTTGCGCTCAAAGTTCACCAGAAACTGACCGCTGTCTGCATCTTCCATCATTTCTAGAAAAAATATGAAAAATTATACACAATGTGCAAATACAAAAACTACTCAACTCTGATACGTCGTATTAGAGTAATTATAAAATGTTTACTGTCGAATGTCATTATTCGATTTTTCGATTTTCGAATTTAAATCAAAATCGAAAAGGGCATTCATGGGGTGATGCAATGTCACTGACGTTTTCATAGCTGCCATAAAAGAAGTTTTCAAGACAATCCGTACGGAAAATCAAATACTGAACAAGTGAGCACCACTTAAACCAACATCAATATGCGGACGACGTTCTGATTCTTTAAATCTCACTGAAAAAAAATCGAAAGAAAAACACGAGAGCTGAACGATCATCATGAGAGGTGGACTGAAAATGAACACTCTGGTTATCTTTAACAAATACGTAACCGCACTACCCGTTAATGTCAAATGACTTACGTCTGAAGATGTGCAAAACCGTGCTTATCTGGAACAGCCCATCTCTATGACGCAGAACCCACTAAGTGAAATGAACAGACGATGAAAAATCAGAAGACTATAATAAATGTTCCTATCTGGAAAAATGCCCTTATGCTAGAAAGGGAAAGTTTTCGATCACTGTGTGCTGCCGGTGCTAACCTGTGGGTCCGAAACGTGGATCTTAAGCCTGAAAATTATTCATAAACTGCAGACTACGCAACGCAGTACGGAAATATGTTTGGAATAACACTAAAAGTCAGAAATACGACTGAATAGATAAGAGTCAAATAGAAGTCTGACATGTCATTGCATTTACATGTGAAGAAGTTAAAGTGACAGTGGTTAGAGAACGTTTCAAAAAGAACCGACCATCGTTGAATAGTAAACACGTCACACTGGGTATAAAAAGAGAGATTAAACGTAGGACGGCTCCCGTGTCCATGGCAAGATTAGCAAAAGAAGTTCGCCGCATCAAGATAGATATAAATCAGCGAAAACCGTTTACTGCAAAGTCTAGGAAAGGCCTTTATTAGGTAGATCGAAAAAGGCTGATGATAATGACGATGTGTTTAATAATGCACGGTTTTAAGATGATGGGTGGTGGTAGCCTAGTAAGATGAGATAAACGATGTAAAAGAAACATACTTCTCTGGGATCAATGAACAGATGTCCAACTCCATGCGAAATGGCTCTACTCAATTCTGCAATGGTCAGGAACGTTGTTGACTACGGTTCAATTACATAAGAAACGGCTATAGTCTGTAGCAGATAAACTAAGAAAGTATGTGTGCCCCCGGAGGGTTATTCTCATCATCATGAATACATAAATAATACACCATTAACAACACAGTAACCCAGATTTACTTTTGGCAGCTATAAGTAGAAACTTCATGACTGCAGCAAAAATCGTATTCCTGGTATGTCGTAACGAGGTGATTATAGCCTTTAAATCGTTCTCAAAGACTTCAGCGATCAGAAGACAATTTATATACCAGAAAGTTTTTGAACCCAAAAAAATTCTTTTTCGAGGTAATTTTATCAAATCAAGTCAAGCGCTAATCTCTGAGATTACCTGATAATCATCAACAATCGCCAGCCAGTTCATGACTCAGTGGTAAATTAGGATTTTTAAGAATGATCATCAGTGGCAGATGATCATCAGTGGCAGATGATCATCAGTGGCAGATCTTTCCAGATCGTGGTGAGAACTGATAATATTACTGATATAGCTGACTTTAGCACGATTATCTTCACTGCGGTTCTTATAATTCGATCTGTCCATATACACTGAGCTTCTTGGAATTCGTTAATGCGATTCAACATGATTGTTCACCTTGAGATCAACGGCGCCAATATCAGCCACGGCAGATCCACGGTAATTAACCAAATGGTGCACAGTATCGTAACGTGTTGGTCGTGGCGGGTGCTCTCATCGTATGTCAGACAGCGCTTACCTGTACGACACTGCCACACTTCACTAGCTTGTTACACACGTACTGAGTACGAAAAGCTCCTCAACGAGTGGATCAGAAGCACGATGTCATTTGCATGCTCAAAGTCCGTTAAACTAATTTCAGGTATACCTTAAGCTTTATCAAGTCTCTGACCAGTTCTTCTTCGTTACTTGCCGTAGTCCACCATGACATCCAATAGCTCATGAGATGGCATCTGGCCTCGACAAATTCAACCGCTGATGTTGAGCAAATCTGACAAAATTTTTCTGTTCTCATGGCACACGTGGTACTTTCATCAACAACTTCTATCAGCTTTACCACCGCTTGTAAAACTCCGTTGAAAAAATGTAAATGTGTCATTGCAAAGGGCAATTCAGCTTAATGATCGAATAGAAAGGGTGACTGAGTAGCACAACCGTTAGGCAATTTGTCAGAAAAAATCAAAAGCACTCACCCGAACTTTTCGATGAATTAAGCTTGTCGTAGAGAGCCGCTTTGGCGCACAGTTTTTGTCGAGACAGCTCTAGAAGTCGGTTATGCTCCGCCTGCTGTTCGTCGTCCAAAACCGTAACAAGTTTAGTGGTTTTTTTGGGCTCTTTCTTGGATTTCGACAGCTGTCGCCGTTGTTCGGCTAAGAGAGGCTAAGAAATATGACAAAACCCTTGAACTTGAAACGAAAACACCACAAATCATTTTTTTTCATACTTTTCCATGTACGAACATTCCATGGTCGACCGTCGCTTGCTTAAGCCGGCTGAAATCTTCCTTCTTGCGAAACAGCTCAGCTTTCAGATCAAGAAGCTACAATTAAAGAAACTTGCGAATAAAATGCAGAGTTAGCATATGCAGATTATTAAATTCACTTGATTCAGTCGATCGTTATGACTGAGTCAATTTAATGACAAAAGCTTGGTGCTGATGAGAATCATAGTAATTCTGACCTAAAGATAGGAATGCTACACCTAACTCAAAACCTCCGGTCAGGCATTTAGGGTAGAATCACAGACAGGATTTACAACGGTCTTAGTCCGTTCGTGTGATTATCCTGCTCTTCATGTTTTGTGCTCTGTGAAGGATAAGAAGGAAAACAGGCATATAGAGCATGTGACATGTGAACAACAGATCTATAATTGTACAGCCTTGCCGCTTTCTCCTTCTTTCAATGACAAACATACGATAGGAAAAAATAACTCTCAAAAGTGCTTCTGCCAAACTCGACCTGCAAGGAAATGACTGAATTCAAAATTAGAGGATTATCTTTGGTACCCGGAATTGAAACAATGATCAAACTCGGAACATCGATGTACTACGACAAAATCGTTATGAAAGTCTTTGGAGTTTGAAATTTTGGAGAGAAAATTCTCCACTTTGCAAAAATTACGATCAATAGAATAACAATCTTCTTATGAAGGAAAGGAAGATAAAGACGTATAGCCCCTGGAAAATCAACGCCTCAAGACAGTCTAAGAAGGATGCTATTTGTGGCCTCGTTTTTCAAGGAGTTTCCACTGTAGCGCTTGCCTCCGTTCAGACTCTATCAGCCGGCGGTAACTTGCTTTTCGAGGATATGTGTAAGTCATAAAACGTTTTGCCTCCTGTTCAAGTCTTACAGAGCGCTGTTCTTTAGAATGATGAAAAGCGAATTTACAGGGGAGAATTCGAACCAACAGCTTTCCGCTTGAGTAACTGTATGAAAGATGCATCATCCGTTGTGAATGACGGTACCGAATGAAACCAACTGAAAAATGGCTGAGTCTAACGCCTTTCTGGTTACAAAGCAGCAGGCTGCACTGGCGCCTCTATGAGTTCTTTAAAAGACTATGAACTTAACTATGGAAACTTAAAAACTATTAAAAACTGTCTTACCGTTGAAACGTTAGCTTGAATCTTTTTCGGCATCTTCGGGCACTTATCGAAACAATTTCTACAATAAACAAGCTTTATAAATAAGATGAATCGAAACTCAATGTTTATTTGGTAACGAAGCACGTGAAAGACATCGACTCTAGTAGTAAGTAGGAACAGTTTCAAACTGAGGGTTGTACCGAATGATAGTATCACCGGCACTTCTGTAAAAATCAGAATGCTTGGTCCCTGAAGCTGAACTCGGTAAAAATACGACTGCTCAAAGACATGTTTGTAACAAAGAAAATATCCACATAGAGAATACTTCTTGAAGAAGTACTTTAGGTCTAACAGCAATTTAAGAAAGTTTGTCAAAGGCCACAAGAAAACAAGAAATAATGGGTAAGAAATTTGCTCAAGCACTGATACTGTCAGTGAAGAAAAGAAGGGAGAGAAAACAGAAAACAGACGTCGCCTCGTAAACAAGGACACAAAACTGCTAGGAGTGACCGAAGATTTAACTAACGACAGAAAAATGTGGATATCGTTGACTCGAACAGCGCAACAAGCTAGGAGAAAGAAGAAAAAGTAGAAATAGTTCAAAAGACTGTTCTCTCCCTCTAATAGCCATCATCTCAATTTTTTTAAAATTCCCCCCTTTATGCTCTATCTCAGTTTTATGAACAGAAATGACATTTCCTTCCATAAGAATTCAGCAACTATAGTCTCAAACTGAACGGTGTACAAGCATCAATCTCATATCGACAACTGACCTTGCATTCATGCATCGCAATATATTTCCTTTTAGATGCCTTAAAGCTAAAACACTCAACTATATTCAGTGCAATAGCAAATGACCAAAGTAAGACTGTGTGTACAGAGGAAGAACTGTAGCGCATTCTCTGCATTACACAGTCAATTTCAACAGAAGTACCGCTTATCAGGCAACACTAAACAAATGAAGCTGACTACCGAGATTCTAATATTACTCCAAATGGCAAATATTCGTAAACAGGTTACTTTCAACAGATATGATGACTGAAAAGTAGCAGCGGTGTATGCAAATCCATTTCAAATGCTTCCAGAAAGGAAAGCAAAACAGCTGTTACTTGCCCAACGGATCAGGCTTCAACAGGAATGGCCAAGAATTACCTGGGACAAGTACAAGGAAGGAACCCTACTCCAGACTCGGGTTATGTTCGGACGAAGATCAAACGCTGGCGTAGGATTTAGAAAGTTGGAAACTGTCTAATATATATGCCTCAGCTACTGCATAGCAAATGCGGTCATCGAAGCTGACTAAGGACTAGCAGAGGAGGGAAAACTTATAGATGATCATACGCACTGATCGGGTAATCTGCCCTCTGAGGGCAGTAGTCGCCTTAGCAGGAGGTATAGACACATTGTTTATCATACAACAGGATGACTTGGCCGAACAGCTAATGCTTAGCTGACAGTAACTGAAAACATGTATGATTCGCTGACTCATTCCTTTATTGAGTCTTTCTTACAGTTAATGATTCAGTCACTCATTCATCCGTCAATCAACGTCCATTCATTCACACATTCGTTCCTTGATTCCAATATTAGGGATTCAACCATTCTCCCGTAAGGTGATTACCTCATTCACTCTTTTACCTGTTTTTACCATTCCCTAATTCACGCATAACGCATACACTCATTTGTTCTGTGATTCATTCGGATCTTTCTGCTTTCAGTTTGTTACGCAGGACTTGAAGAGATACAGCTTTGCACAATTGCTGAGACGGTCCATCGAAACGATAGCCCTGCCATGCAGTAATAATTAACAGTAATAATTAACAGCAAAAACAAATCAGATACTGAAGCACTTAGGATTCACAAATCGATTTCAACAGCTGTCATACTGACAGGAATTTATAAACTGTTGTTATTCCATTTCTTAAGAATTTATTTGAAAATTGTTAAACCGCAACGTCAACAGAATATTTTTAACTACAACAACAGAATGGGAATAGCGTCGCTTTCAATGCAAGTCAGTGTCGATATGAAGTGCGCATGCCGTTCGTCTCAAACATATATCACACAGTGAAGAGCGTAAGCTGAAACGTACGAGCGATTGACAAATTATGATAGGCACCTTCTACTATCATGTATCGCATATTGCATGCTTCCTTGGGTTAAATTTTGGCTCCTTTAGGATAATATTAAGGCCCTTTATGAAATTTGTGATGAGAACTAGCATCAACAAAATTTGCCAAAGTCAAAAAAAACATATTTGTACTACAAAGTTGAACACTATGTTCCAAGTACGAAGAGCAATTATTTTGCACCACACGCAGGTCGGCCAGTTAGGTATCTACTCCTTCACTACTTGCTTAGAATTTGTTCATTTCCTATATCGAGATTTCGGCAACACATCAGATGCCTTATCGAATCTTCAATGAAAAAGATTTCCTGACTGAATACATGCAAGCGGAGTTTGTTGCAGAAACTCCCTGCAAACTTCGAGGCAATATGAAAAATTCAAAAAATGCACCATTCTGTATCACACTGATTCCTGTACCAAGGAAACAATCTCGATTTATCGAATCAACGCAACAGCTGGCAGAAATTGGTTTATCTGAGAGCAATCGCCAACGAGGCGAGAAATCCGTCACCTGAACAATCTTATTCAAAACGCTTTAACAC